TTTGTTTCATATATTAATTATTACTAGAAACGATCAACGAACCGATGGTTAATCGTTGATGGTTTCACAAGTAAGTAACTTCGGTTTATTAATGCACGGTCGTGGTTAATAAACTTAAGAGGAATTAATTTTGTTGGTTAAACCGAAACCGTTGTGTTGAGGTTATCAATCTCAATTGATTTCATCAAGGAATTAAGAGATTAAATGCTACTATCAAGTCGGTATATGGCGGTGTTCTATACTTGACTAATAGTAAGGGTTATTAATGAACGGTCGTTGTTAATAACTATCCTTGATGAATTGGATATACTCCTCGATTGAGTATTCGAGAGGAGATAAGTTATAGATATAACAATGATCGGCTAAAATATATCAACAAGTGGAAAGTAGCAATGCCAAGTCCCTTTTATCTTTGAATTAAATCTCATATAAGTTGTTCATCTTTGTTTTTAATTAAATTAAATCATTCAACCATAAAACCCCCCCTTTTATTTACTAGCTTCATAAAAAGAGAATTATTTCTTTCCTTGTGGATACGAACTCTACTACGCTATACTACGTATAAGTGTTAGTATTGAATTTATTTTGACGCACCGTGACAAAGTGCACGTCAAATTTGGCGCCGTTGCCGGGGATAGGCAATACCCGATCGGGTATAGGCAATACTCGATCGGGTATTGAGTTGATTCGGGTGTCAAAATCAGAATCTGGAGAGGCAAAAGAACGTGCAGGATTTTGACTTTTTGGCTCATACCCGACCGGATATGCCTACATACCCGACCGGGCATGTCTAGAAAAGTGATTTTCCGGAAAACTGCCTAAAATACCCGATCGGGTACTGATAGGCACAACAATTATCTATATTTTATATAGGTAATTATGATTATCTGTGCAAATATTCAAAGATAAAACAGATAAAAACCCCAATTTGAGCGAAACCACACTGAAGCGTCAAAAATGAAGAAACGGGAGTCAATGGGGAAAAAGGGACCAAGAACCGGCACCTCGGGGTCAACAACGGGCGTCAAATGGAGCGAAAAGCGAAGAAAATACAAAAAAAGGAGATACCCGGCGCCGGTCCACCCTATACCCGGCGCCGGCCCGTCGGATTTTCGCACCAGCCAATCCAGTAGCTTACCCAGCGCCGGGTAGGCCTGGTGGCCGGCGCCGGGTAGATCCGATTCTGCAAATACAAAGGAACGTGCATCCGATTCTTGATGAAAAAAAAACACCTTCCTTATGATCTGAGAAAATATTTCTTCCATGCGTAATTCTTGGGCTTGAATAGACTAAAAAATGCAAATCTTTAGCCTATATAAAGCCCCCAATTCATCAAACAAGATCATCATTCCATTCTTGGAGATTAAAATTCAGTTTTTATATTTCCTTTTTGCATTATCTTGAAGTGTTGGAGAAGAAGCCATTTCTTTCCTCTACAATTGGTTCTAGGTATTATTTCTTGTATGTTATTGTATTTCATTGTTCTTAGTTACACTTTTGTAATTAATATGAGCATTAGAGGCTAAGTTCTTAGCTAAGGCTAGGGATGAACTTCTATGTCCACTAGGTGTTTGATATAAGTTCTAAACCAATAAATTGTGATTTATCCTTTACATTTTGATTGTTTATGACTATGGTATGCAACATAGAAGTATGTTAAACTTAGTTTATGCTTGCAATTAACGTTGAGGTCTAAACTATGAACATTAAAGGATAAACATATATATTACCAAGAATAGAAATATATCCGGTATTATATGATACGGGTGTGATGTCTTAATATTCAACGGGGTTTTCGGTAGATGAATGTAAGCCGTAACGGGACTTACACGTAACGAAAACCACGCTCTCGCTGCCTTAACCGGAGTTGAGAATATATTAGCGACATCGTATTCATAATTATTGGTAAAGAGCTAATATTCAACCCTATTAAAACATTTAAGTGATTCCCGAAGCCTTAGCCGTTGTTATCATTCATCTTAAATCCTAATTAATCAAGGTTATTTCCTTGAATTAAAATTGAAAAGCCAAAAATATAAAACACAACTCAAAATCCCCGCACTTTATTCATTTCAACATTTAACGTTATCTACTTTCGGACTTGAATTAAACAACGTTTCCCTGTGGATTCGACCCGGTATTTCACCGGAATTTATTACTATAGCGCCACTTGTACACTTGCAAGTTCAGCCCGATCAGGTACCCTATATACCCGATCGGGTACACAACCCTGCCACCTCCAAACACCTATAAATACACCCCTTTTCCTTCACAATAAAAGTACCCCTTCTTCCATATACTTAAGCTCAGTTTAGAATAGTATTTCTTTTATATTTTTATAGCATGTTTAGTCTCCAAATGAGGAGCTAAACTTCCATTTCTTGGTGTTGCTCTTGAAGCTTGTTGATTATTAAAGTTGTGAGTTATTTTCTTAACTTCTTTCCTTGAATATTAATTCTTCCTTTAAATACTATTTCTATATCAATGTTGGGGAGTGTTACTAAGATGACAATTAGTTAACATCTTGACATTAGTTATAGTAATAGTTATTTCTTCCTCTATGTTAATATTGGGGAGTGTTACTAAGATGACAGTTAGTTAACATCTTGATATTAACTATAGTAGGATTCATCTTCTTTAATATTCTTCCTTGAGTATTAATTAATTCCTATTCATATTTCATATTAATATTTTGAACATTACTTAAAGGATCAACTCGTTTTGTTTCATATATTAATTATTACTAGAAAAGATCAACGAACCGATGGTTAATCGTTGATGGTTTCACAAGTAAGTAACTTCGGTTTATTAATGTACGGTCGTGGTTAATAAACTTAAGAGGAATTAATTTTGTTGGTTAAACCGAAACCGTTGTGTTGAGGTTATCAATCTCAATTGATTTCATCAAGGAGTTAAGAGATTAAATGCTACTATCAAGTCGGTATATGGCGGTGTTCTATACTTGACTAATAGTAAGGGTTATTAATGAACGGTCGTTGTTAATAACTATCCTCGATGAATTGGATATACTCCTCGATTGAGTATTCGAGAGGAGATAAGTTATAGATATAACAATGATCGGCTAAAATATATCAACAAGTGGAAAGTAGCAATGCCAAGTCCCTTTTATCTTTGAATTAAATCTCATATAAGTTGTTCATCTTTGTTTTTAATTAAATTAAATCATTCAACCATAAAACCCCCCCTTTTATTTACTAGCTTCATAAAAAGAGAATTATTTCTTTCCCTGTGGATACGAACTCTACTACGCTATACTACGTATAAGTGTTAGTATTGAATTTATTTTGACGCACCGTGACAAAGTGCACGTCAAGTCCGGTTTTGGTGTCAAATACAGTTGACGTTTGGGAATGAACATGAACTTGGTGGAGAGGTTTAATATGAATTCTAAGTTTCAATTTTTTGGGGCAAAATATTTTCCACTAACGTTTTTAATTAATGTCTTCTTGCAAGACTCGTTTGAGTTCGATACGATCTTCTAAAGAATGTATTTTTTTTTGTTACTGTTGTTCTCCAAAAACGGAACAAGGTTTTTACAAAATTTAAATGTCGGTTTGGTAATATCCAAATCGGTTGTTTTAATTGATTCTGTTGAAATTTATTAAGTTCTACATCAAGTGGCTAGATTGGATCATTCTGTTGATTTATAAAAAAAATTATATTTAACATATACAAAATATATTCTATTAATTAAATATATGGAAAATAGAAACTAATAATCCAACCTTTTAGCGGTCTTCTTACAACAGTCCCACCTTTTCGTTATTCATGAATAATCCAACCTTTGCACCTCATCTTCATTCACTGGTCCCTGACCGGTTGATGACATGCTATTCCAAGTTATTTTCTTATCTTTACAAACCATTATACCATAAATCTCACCTTTCACAAAGTTAATATTTTGCAAAGATAAGAAAATAACTTGGAATAACAGGTCATTAACCAGTCAGGGACCATTGAATGAAGATGAAGTGCAAAGATTGGATTATTCATGAAAAACGAAAAGGTGGGACTATTGTAAGAATACCGCTAAAAAGTTGGATTATTAATTTCCATTTATATGAAAAACAACCTAAAATTAAATGATTTTCTACAGTAACTTCAGCTCATACAGTTAAAAAAGTAACCCCAACTTTATTTTGTCTTATTATTACACAATTCAGCACTCGAAATAAGAAGTTACGTGTTTGGTGAAAAATTTGGCTAATAAGCGTGATAAGCCGATTAAAAAGAATCACCAAATGACTTTTTATAGATGTATACGGAGTAAAAGATAAAATGAAAGACCCATAAGTGTCATTTATGTTCTTTTCGCCCAATGAAAAAGAGGGTCACCAAATACACTTTACTATGGAATGTTTGAAACTGATTCTACTTATGTTTCTTTTCTAAAAGACTGAGCAAAATCAGATGAATCATTATTTAGAAAGCAATCACTACTATCTTCAAAAAACCGCTTCTAGGATATATTTGGAGCACCCAGCAGTATTTTTCACCATCCAAATACTATAATATATGCTTTTGGTCCTTAATCAACAAAAGCACTTTAAAAAAGCACATCCAGACACTCTCTATTCACACTTAAATACATGATTATCATACACACTAAAGATTTCCATTATGAAAATATCTTGCATTGGTGCACCTATATTCTGACATATTGCATGACAAAACTCATTCAAGTAAAAAAAGAGCTCATCTAGGTTGAGAAATTCTTTGTTTTAAAAAAATAAACATTAGTCTATAACCCCCTTTTCCAATTTCTAACATAAAATAATGTTGATGGTACTCCAATTGAAATAAATAATTGAATAGAAAGTGTTTAGCAAAGACAACTGTAATTGGACTGCTTTGAGTCTTAGCTCGAGTCAAGTAAGACCAATCCGGTCGTAACCAAAGCAGTCTTAAAAACATCATTAACATGAAATAATGACCCGATTTCAAGCTAGAAGTGAACAACCAACAAACTAACGTAACGTGTGGAACCAAGTCACCAACTGATCACATTGGAGACATATGATGAAATAATTAATAACAATCTTTCTCTTAAGACATTACACCTATCCAACGAGTAATGACCACACATAATTAGACTTAAATACAGACGAGATCAGATAAGACTTAAATTACATCAGATCAAATCAGATCAGACTTAAACAGTCCAGACCAGATCAGATGATACCAGACTTACATAGTTATAAATATACAAAGATTAGACATTTACCAGACCAGATCAATTCAGACAGAACAGAACAAACTAGTTTAAAATGAAAAGAACTTAATTAGTTAATTGCTTCAATTTGTCCGAATTTGGGCTGCTGTGGTAGTAGACCCAAACGACGGGGGCTGCCTAATTAACCCGCAGACTACGAAATACATTGTGCGGCATCAAAGACATGACGTCAGAAGCAGGCGGCGGCCGCTGCGGGGCGGCGGCCCGACGGCGGCATAAAGGGCAGGTGGCGTTCCTCCTCAGCCACGCCGCAATACAATATTTATGGAAATCATGTGAGCAAATGGGAAGCAAAGTGGTAATCTCTTGACCTCTGGCATATTCCGACAAACACACGGCGCAAACTCTCTGCTTCCGATCATCTTCGCCGCCGCAGCTTTCCCAAGTATCCGACTGCAGTCTCCCGATTTCATCTTCCGACAATCCCGTCCTCTCCATATTTGTCCGCAATTCTAGAATTTAGCTCTCAAGAACTAATTAAAAATAATGGAAACCCAATTCTAGAATGCCCGGCTGCACCACCGGCCGGCCTCTAATCGCCCTTTTATATATCAGAAACGCAAGGCTGTTTAGGCAGCTTGTTCCTCAAGCGATCCTTAATTACAGCCGCCATTAAATTAAGATTAAATTGATCAATTTCTAATTGACTCTTGTTTCCTAATAATTTTGTGATATTCAACCCCAATTTCGTGATCCCACCCATAAAATTAGCAGAAAGTGTGTTCAAATTAACTTAACTCTTGTTTGTTGTTGATAATGATATACCATCACTTACTACTACGGAGTAGATTCGAGTAGTTTCATCACTTACTACATTTGGATTCTTGAATGTGAAGAGGCTTAGCGATGAGCAAGTGGTCAGTTATTGAGACATTCTTGGGAATTTTTTGAAGCATGGGGACAATTGTAATATTGACGTAGTTGAGCTGTTTTCGGAACTGTAGTCGCTTGCAAAATCATTACCCAAATGCACAACAAAAGTGATTGGTTGAAGTGTTGGAGTACCGTCTATAAATTAAATTCTCTTTACACATGTATAAGTATTCACTCGGTAAATTCAATTTTTTTCTACAATCTAGCACTGTCAATATATTCACTCATTAAAGTTTCTTTTAATTAGATCCTTTCTTTTATTTTTGTATTATTTTTTTCAATTTTTTGTGAATAATTATTGTCTAAAAATTCAAAAAATTCGATGTAAAAATAAATAAATAAATTTGAAGTTTAATTTTTTTGTTGTTACTTTAGATCTTTTAAAAAACAGAAAGTTGTAAAAAAATATTTAAGAATGAGATCGTAATTTTAACACTTTGTATTTTTTAAACTTTATATATTCAATATTGATGTCTTATGAAAGACAATAAAAAGTTATGAATATTGATATACTCTTTTTAAAAATTGGAGAAAATAATATATATATATATATAACACTTTAAAGAAAATTGGGATTTTTTGTTTTAACTGGGGCCCACATATGTTCTTTGTTGCACATGAAAAATAAGGAACATAGCTTCTCAACCCCTCGGGTGCTCCCGAAGTGGTCTCACTCTTAAATCATGGTCAGATACACGTTGGGAAAGTTGTGTTGCTTGTGTGAGAGTTTTCCGGTTTCAAGAGTCACAGATAAAACAAGCACTTGAGAACTTGATCAAATGTTGTAATGATCGTACGTAGCACGGTAAGTGATGCAAAGTCCATACGTAAGTATGAAATGAACTTTGATTTCCTTGTTTCTATGGTAATCCGGCACGAGATACTCACAAGGTAAACAAAGTTAGCAAAGCCCTCCAATAGAAAGATATGGTCATCAATTTAGCTATTACTCTCTTGAAAGGTCTAGTTGCATATTTCTAAGATTATAGAGAAGATGAATTTGAGAAAGCCAATTTTGTGAAACACGAGTTCATACCGAAAGGAAGTTTTTTTACGAGAATGCAATGGATGAACCGATAAAATCAGCGGAACGTGTGTTCAAGTTTAACTTACTTCTTGTTTGTTGTTAATAATGCTATATCTTCACTTACTACTAGATTTGAGCAGTTTCAAAATACGAGGATATATTTGGATTCTTGTATGACTTGAGTAAGTTGAAGGGTCTTAGCTAGCGATGAGCAATTGGTCAATTATTGTGACACTCTTGGGAATTTTTTGAAGCATGAGGACGATTGTGATATTGAAGTGTTGGAGTACAAATGCTTGGATTGTTTACAAAATTTTGTTGACTATTCCGGTGATAGTGGCTACTACGGAAAGAAGCTTTTCAAAGTTGAAGCTCATAACTAACTATCTACGATCAACCATGTCATAAGATAGATTAAATGGCTTAGCTATGTTATCTATTGATAAAACAGTGTTAGCTACTCTTGAATCCAGTGATGTTGTTACTGATTTTGCACTTCAAAAGGATAGCAAAATAGGTCAATAGAGTGTTACAAGTACAAGTTTGTTGTGTATTTTGTATATGCTTGCATTGTTGCATTTAAAAACTTATCCTTATGATTATAAAAAATATTATATCGTACACTTTGAATATGTTTTCTTTCATATTATACTGTAAATTTTTTCCGTATAGGGCCTCCCAAATGCTAAAGGCGCCCCTGCTCCCAGTCCACCACAGCACCCTCCAATTTGGAATGAAAACCATAAATTTGGTGTTTTACGCTCATTCCAATTGCGGACAACCTAAGTATAGGAAGTTCAACAATAGAGCTCACGCAGTCTAAGTATAGGAAGTTCAACAATAGAGCTCACGCAGTAAACAGTAGCATTGAAAATAGTTGAAATTGTTGAATCTACTGAAAATTGAGAAAATATTGGTTGAAATGACTGAATTGGTTAAATTACTTATATATGACTAAAATAAAGATTGTTTACAAAAATGTGACTAGTGACTAGAGTAGTAATGAAATAATAGTAACTTATGTATAATATTTAAACTTAAGTTACCATGACACTACATTGTAGTAACTATTAGTCATATTTGTGTAAATAAGTTTTGTTTTAGCTGGTTAAAAAAAGTTTTATTTTAGTAATGTTTTTGTAAAAAAAGTTTTATTGTAGTAATTTATGAAAAATCATATTTGAAATATATCCAATAAATAAATAAATAAATAAATAAAAATATGAAAATAGATAAAATAGTCATTTAGGGTAACTTAATCAAATTCGGGTAGAAAATAATTTCAACCTTACTTATTTTAATTAGGGAAAAAGATCAAACAAGGCTTTCTACTATTACAGAATCGTCACATGATAAGTCCGTATTTCGACACGCATTTGATGCATGTTGAAATTGGATTTTGATTGTTTTTCTAGCTTTAAGGTGTTACAAGTCTCAATTTTAGCTCAAGTTATGTTTACCGGGCGTTGGTTCGAGTTTTATGCCGTTTGGAGTCAAAATCGGGAATTTAGAGTCCGGCACCGACGCTTGAGGAGCAATCGGGATGAGTTGAGAAGCATTCGAGATTGATTTGAGACCTTTGGAGATTACCGGGAGGTTTACGATGAAGATTTAATGACAAAAGAGCTCCAGAATTGACTACGGGATCAAAAGAAGATGAATAGAGCTCGAAAACGGCGATAAGGATGATCCTCTGTCAATCGTTCAAGCATATCTCTTTGTAGAAGCATCCAAAGGACACAATTCAAGTTGCTTATGAAAGCCAACTTCAAGGGATACAAATCATATACATAGACTAGTGCGAAAATCTGAGAGGAGCAAGGTGAAAACAGACGATGAAGTCAGATGATCTCTGTTACGATTTCAGAATGTCACCTTCCACCATTTTTTTCATATCTCTTGATTGGATGATTCAAATCCAATTCCGCAAGTTGTGGTGGATAGAGAACATCATTATCTACAATTTTCATGAGAGAAGTTTTGTCAAATTCGGACTTGAGAAACGGTGAAGAACTGGCTAGGCACGACCGCACCTAGAAGGAGGCCCGATCGTGCCTCCAAGTAAAAATTCGTGTGGAGCTACTGGAAGCCAGGCATGATCGTTCCTTGAAGGGTAGGCATAATCGTTCATACCCCCGTGTTACGCGAGTTTCAGTCCCAGTTCGGCCAGAATTCATTAATTTTCCCTTTTTTTCTATAAATAAGGCATCCATACTCCTTTTTGAGGGTTACGAACATTACGGAGAGACCTAGGGACGAATTTATATGCATTTTCCCGTTGTTTTCTTCAAGACCCTGAGATTATTTGTAAGTTCAATCTTTTTTAATTAATGACAATTATTTCTATTCATCTCAATCCTGTTGATTCTTCAATTATGAGTTGTGAATAGTTTAATTAGGGATTTGGGATTGATGAAGGGGTTAATCATGATGTATGACTAGATTCTTGAAGGATTAATTGCATGAATGCCGTTTAATTTGTGTTTGAATAATTTAACTGCTATCTCTTGTAACCTAGAACGGCCGCTAGAATTACAATTGCTTGTAGAATACATTAAGAGAGGTCTAGTTTATTCTATGACATATTCACATACACTTAATCGTTCGCTAAGAGATTAGTAGCGATTAAGGGACCGTAAGCTCGCTCGTCTTGGCAAAAAATTAGGGTCATGTCGCATGAGAGATCAGCCTGGTCCCCTAAATTATGAATTTTTTCCACTTTTAGTCCTTCGATTATTATGTCACTGACACTTTTGGTACTCGACTTTGATTTTTTCCACTTTTAGTCCTCAACTATTATACTAGAGACACTTTTGGTACCCATCTTTGAAAATCTCCATTTATAGTCTTTCGACTTACATAAAAGTGACACTTTTGATCCTCTAACTATTATAATAGTGACATTTTTAGTCCGTCACTTATTGTGTCAAAATCATAGTAGAAGGACTAAAAGTGTCAATTTGATAATATCAAAGGACTAAATGTGGAACACTTTGAAGTCGAGGACTAAAAGTGTCTCTAACAGAATAGTTGATGACTAAAAATGGAAAAATTAAAAGTCGAGTACCAAAAGTGTCACTGACACAATAGTCGAGGGACCGAAAATGGGAAAAAATCCCTAAATTATTGTACTCTACGCCGCGAGAGCGGTAAGAACATTGTAATGATTAGCTAGGCTCAATTGATTTAATTTCATGTAACTAAGTCTGATCTGCCAGAAATCTGATTACCCCGGAATCAATCCGCATTCCCTTCGTCATTAATTAGAGAGAACCCACTTATTTTCGTTCATCTGCATTTTAATTTTCCAAACCAATCAATCTTGCACAATCACATTTAATTTAATTTTATTTCTTTTTCATCGCTGAATTTAGTTAATTCTTGATTCCCTTTTGTCCGTCCCTGTGGAGACGATACTCGTACTTACACCACTATATTACGATCTATTTTAAGTGCGAGAAACCTCACATCAGTTTTTGGCGCCGTTGCCGGGGACGATATCGGCTGTAAGGGTTAATTAATTTCAGCGATTTTTTTTTGTTAGTTTTTTTTTTTAGTTCTCTGTAGGTTTTTTCTGTGTTAACCTTTCAGGGATTTTTCTAAGAGGATGAGATGAA